AATCTAGTGGTGTTCATCTAAACACAGTAACACAGTTACTTGAAAACATGGAAAGCACGCAGCTTCGTGCTCTTCGACAATCTAATATTTCCCATGTGGTACTACAGACTTGAATCTTTTATTTGCAATCATGGATTTCTTTATTTTTTTTTCTGCAAGGGAATGAGATTATGATATCTGTTCTGTGCTTTTCTTTCATTTCCTTTATAGGACAATCAATCTCCAGAGCCCAGTTGAACATTTCAGACGAATGGCAAGTAGTGATCTCTGAAACAGGTACATATGTTCAAATCCATAAACTACTTCAACGTATCAAAACAAGCCTTTGGACAATCTCTATGTTATTTTGTAGCTGTTTAGTAGAAGTCTTTTGTAACCTTTTTTGTTTATTTAGGAGAAGAGTCACTTTTCAGTTTTTGACTTTAGTTTTGTTGAAAAGTTAGAAGAATGGACTAATGTAGAAAAACAAAACTAATTGTAATTTTTTTGTATGAATTTTCTGTTCGTAATGGTGGTTTAGGAGAATCCATAAAGTGGCATGAAGCTTGCTTAGAAACAAAGTGGCATGAAGAATCAGAGTACCATGAGATTTTTTAGAATCTGTTTTTGTATTCTTCTCATACGTTGACAAGTTCTGTACAACCTGCTTTGCATATTCAGTGTTAATATAGTCAGTAGTTTTCTTTAGTGGTCCTTCACATTGTCTGCACCGAACCTGAGACGCAGACCTGCTGAGACGGATCAGAATCAAGAAAGGTTCGATCGCTTTGCTTGACATTTCTAAACTTCAGCTTAATAGTCTTGAGAAGCTATCTATCTCTATGGTTGTGTCACTTTATTGAAGTTCTCAACGAGGAAGAAGTTGATGTTTCTGAAACTTTACAGGAAATCGAAATCAATTATTGCTATAATCTTGTCAAATTACCGTAGTGGATCTTTCAAGTTGTTTCACTGAAGAAACTTAGCATTACAAATTGTAATAAGCTATGTAGACTCTCAGAAGTTATTGGCAACATGAGGAATCTTGAAAATGTTGAGACTGAGTTCTTGTAATAGTCTCTTGGTGCTTCCTGAAATGATCGAGAGACTACGCAATTTACGGTTTCTCGATGTTTCTGGATGCTTTCAATTACAAAAATTGCCTTTAGAGATTGGAAATTGCAGAAACTGAAGAAGATTTCGATGAGAGATTGTTATCGATGCGAGTTGCCGGATTTGGTCAAGAATCTAGAGGATTTGGAGGTGAAATGCGACAAGGGACTGTGTTCTTATGGAAAAGATTCAAACCAAAAATGAAGAATCTGAGAATCAAAGAAGAGGAACAGAACATAACCTCAACTTGCTTCAACTATTCTAATGTCAATTTGCTTTGTGTGCGCGTGAGGTCTTGAAAGTTTGTAACAATGGAAATTATATGTATATAAAAAAACCTTTCTATTTTTGCAGTTTCAGTTGTAAGTTGTAACCGAGATTTATTGGGCCCAATGATTCGTTAAATTTTCTGATTATAAAGCCCATTTAATCGACTCAACGGCTAGTGTGTCTTATCGAACTGTTACTGTTAATACAACGGTCGAATTATACAAAATCTAGCCGTTAAAATACAACAACAGCTCTTTAAATCCTCTTTAAACACAACACTTTTTCTTTCTTTCAAATTTCTTCATAATTCACCAATTGTAAGAAAATTCATCTTTCTCTCTCTCCCTCCCTTTTTTGTA